CCCAATATATTTGTCTGCTCCCAGAGCTGGGCTCTCTCTCCTGTGGAAACAGGGACTGAGTTGCCCTTTCTACCTCTGATTCATCCAGAGATAACCATTGGCATTGAAACTTCCCTGGCAGGTGATGGTGCACAGCTATCATGCAGAGAACAAAGTATACAGAAACGAAGGAATTATCTTAATGTGTTCTTCTAATTAACCACAGCTGAATTACTGCCAGGATTCCTACTGACCAGCAAAGGATGTTGGCTTGTGGGGAACACCTGTCCTGTTTGGGAGCATTGCTAGCTTCTTTGTGCTTTTAAAACCCAGAAGATACATCCTTATCTGGGGTTCAGTGTGGGGGGCAGCCTCCTACATCCCTGTATGGGGCTGTGTGTCCTGCTGGTGATGCTTACAAGCTGGGTTTGGCTTTGCCAAAATGCAACTTGGAAAAATCCAGCCTCCAGCATTTGCCTGGCGTGAAGGAAAATTTCAAAGGCTACACCAGCACGCCAAGACCTGAGCTGTGAACTGCTTTCTCACAAGGCTAGAAGTCTTGGGCAGATTCTGGAGTTATTTCTGGCTGATACTGAAGTGCAAAATCAAGCTCTGACAATATGACACTGAGCATGGATCTTGCTCCACAGGAGGCACTGGGGTGAGTTGAGAAGGAGACCTGCTCTGAGATTTTAAAATTGTGGTGAAGGAAATGCCTTGCAGAGGAGTAGATGTGGAAGATCTCATGGAAGAGAGGTGTTTTTTTCAGCTTTTCATGGAATGATACTGCTGTGGAGCTGTGCAAAAATGTCACAAGGTTTGCAATAAATGACACTCTGACATTAAAATGAGGGAGGCGGGAAATGAAAACGACCTGTCTGTAGGGGGCACTCAGCTGTCTTGTGTCTGAAAGTGAAGTTATTGAACCATCAGATAAAGAAACAGAAGAATTGGAATACTCAGCCCCATTTGGTGAGAGATGCTTGATGACTTCTCTGATCTGTACCCAAACACTTCCAGTTGCCAAAAAGAAGGTAGCTGGAGCAATTGCTCAGAGCCTGCAAATATGGTAAAAATAAGAATTTAGAAGAAATGGGATGGATGCAATTTTCTTTAGTGGCTGTTACTGATGCTGCTGTCAAGGGTTGCTGGCAGCTGAGGAACATGAGCGATGACTAATGTGGCAGAACCCATTCTCCAGGCACAGGAGTTAGCAGGGGGGAAAAATGTCTGCTTGCAGAGGGCAGAGATCAAAGAATAAGCACAGGCTGTGCAGTATCAACCAGTCCCATGGCAACAGAACGGGGTGCAGAGCTCCAGCCTCGTCGTATCTGCTCTGTACCCCAGTGCCCATTTCCTGAGGTTTGTCCATGTGTCCTCCTCTAGCAGCAGCTGGGATGGGGATGAGGTCCCCATCCCCTGCCTGCTCCTCCTGGTGCTGTGCTGCCAGGCATTCATTAAGCCCTCGGAGCTGCCAGCCAAGTCACTCATCACGGGAGCGCTCTCTGCACGCACGCTGGCACAAAGCAAGTCCCCGGCTTGCCAGGAACCCGCTTTTTAAACCCGACCCAGCTCATTAGGGCTGAACGAGGGAAGGGACAGCAGTCCCAAGCAGCTCGAAGGACAGACGGAGGGAACTCACATCTACCGAGGGCTGGTGATGTACTCAAGAAGCAGTGTGGGAATCAGGGAGGTCTCTCCCAGCTGCAGCCGCAAGGAATTTAACGTGTGTTAAATTCTCCTGTGGGCAGAGAACCTCCCCGGAGAATCGTTCAAGTGTGAAAAGTTAGTCAGGAGGGGAAAGGAGAGGGGAGAACTGGCGGAGGCTCCAGAAAGGGGGATCACTGTTGCTGCTGCCCCTGGTTTGTGGCTGTGATTCCTCCCCTGGGGTTTAACGCCCTTACTTACAAAAGAGAATCGGGGAGAGTAAAACTCGCTCTGGCCTGTAGCTGAGGAGACAAGCGGACACTTGATGGAGCTGTAGTCGAATTTCTGTCAGATCTTTTGCTGATGCAGAGCCTGTGTGGAGGCTCTTGGAGCTGCTGTGGTTTGTGGCAGCGCTGGGCTGCGGGCGCTGCCCTGAGCAACGGGGGCTTCTGCTCCACGTCCTGAACCCCCCTCCCCTGGGGACCCATGGGCTGGGGACACTGAGATACAGGCACAGCCTGCTCCCAGCTGTGTCAGACAAAGGCTCAGCCTCCAGGTAAATCACACGGGGATGCACTTCAGGGCTGGCAGCTGCATCCAAGCCAAGATGGTCCCGTCATCCTCAAGAGTCTGTCGCAAGGCCCTGGGGACTGCAGGAACCTGTTGGCACCCTCGGGTCCCAGGGCACTTTGAGGAATGCTAATCTGTGCATCCATCGGACGGGCAATGGTGCATCAGTGTCCACCTAAGTGCTGAGGAGTGCACTCCTGTGTAACATGCAGAAAAAAATAATTTTATCAACTAAAGGTCTTTCAATATGCCTCCTGCTTTCAAAATCCCAGTTTACTGGGAAATAACATAATCCCTTAATATTACCTAGTATTTAATCATTGCTGTTCATATCACACCATTAAAAAAAAAAAAAACCAAAACAGAATTATGTCTCTTTTTAATTTTTTCTCCTTTAGGTCATTGTTCTCTTCCATTTACTGATTTGTTTTTGGTTTATCCATGATGGCTGCATTCTTACTGTTTTATCTTTTGATAAAACCCCCGAGTGACCAATTCTACACCTCCCTAGTCATCTGCCACCAAGCAGATTTAATTTCTTCTTTGCACTTTATAATGTTCTTCTCCCCTCTCCCTCCCAATTCTCAGTAGGAGAGGTAGATAATTTTTAACTGTCCCAGATTACAGTTTAAGAAAAGGGTGAAGACAAAGGTTTCTCTTCACTTATATGGAACATTACTGACACGTTATTTTTGTGTCAGACTTAAAGCCTTGGTTTTAACCAGCTGCTGCAAATGTAGAGAGGTAAACAACAGACTCCGTAAACAGTTCAATACAGAAGACTTGATTTAGTACCCTACAAGACAAAGCAATCAATAATCTATTACACATCTAATCACAGGCATGAAGAGCCCAGCAGCTCTCTGCACAGCGTTCCACCAAACAAGAAAGGTGGCTGGAGACCCACAGTAAGAGGGACACAAATCTCCAAGACAGCAAATGCACTAGAGTTGATCTACAAACACAAATATTCAAATTCAACAATCACCTCTTGCTACTAGTGAATCATGCTATTGCTATCTGGAGACGAGTTGCTATGGCAGAAAGCTGTAGCAGTGGCAGAAGGCCAAGAATCCTGCCTTTGAAATGTTAACTGAATTTAACTCTTGACTTTTCACAGACAAGGTTCATTACATTGTGTGACTGTGTCATATTAAATGAGTGCTTTGTCTGCCTTGGGTACTGGCTTGGAAGGGATATTATTAATCAGCAGCAAAACAGGTCAATAGCAACCATTTGTAAATAAAGATTTTTTTTTTTTAATACCTTCAGGTCTGCTATGTGATAGCTGAAGTTACATAAGGGCTTTTTTTTTTTTGCTTTAATTTCTTCCCTTTTTCTTCACTTTATGTAAGTTATATCCAGTTCACAGTTCCTGGACACACTCAGAGCACACCCACCAATGCAGGCATGATGGTGAGATGCTCTAATTTGAACAGTCACATCCTGGGCACAGAAATGCTGCTGCTCCATTTAAGTGACAACGTAGGCTGCTCTCCATAATATCCACCAGAAAAATCGGTTTATAGAGAATTGAGCAAGGAACAGGTATAAACATCAGTTGAAATATAATTTTGTAAATGGCAGAACTAACTACACACAAAATTCAGGGATAAGCTCTTTCAGCTGCCTGGAGGGCAGATCTTGGTCCCTGGTTAAAGGGGAGCTGCAGGTGCATACAGTGCACTTTGCTTTATGATCTCAAATCTTTACAGCTGCATCAATAGGAACTCACATTTAGTTCCTGGACAAGTTAGTTAGGTTTGGTGAGTTAGGATTATTGAGATCCAAGGAAACACCATCTAATATTCATGCAGCAGTGCCTCTGACATCCTTTCTTTACCATTACAATGAGGGGTTAAGAAGGACACGCACTTCAGAAGTCGACAGAGAACCACAGAACAAACCAGATGATGTTACTGTGAGAAACTATCAGAGAGAACAGGGCACAGAGATCTGCAGCCATAGTTACAAAGATGCAGATTCACAAATTGTGGCAATATTTTTCCTTCTGGAAAACTAACAAAGGCATTACTGTTGCAGTTGAAAAAGCCTTGAGTATGGCAGGCCATGTGCAAAATTACAGTGGAGGCTGAGATGGTGTGAGGAGTGAAGCTGGAAGAGTTGCTGCACACTATTCCTACCCCAGTCTACACCTTGAGAGTTTTGCCCAGTTCCAAGAGAAGGCTAACAACCACATGTCCCTGCAAACTGGTTTGTAACACATAGAACATTTAATGTTCCAGCTTCAGAAATCTCATTCTGACTTTCAAGACTTACTTCCCTCTATTATAGGATTACATCTTCCAGGAATGAGATCACAGGACAAGAGAGCTCTTGCTCTCTCATGCTTCCCTTCTCAATAGGCTTTTGACTATGTGCTCAGAATTGAAGGAGTTATTCCAGGGAAGAAAAACAAAAAAGCTGTGCAAAACATGCACTACACTGCTAGACAGCACTTAAAAAGTCATCTTTCATCAACCATGATTTTAACTGCTGCATCTCCTCAAGATACACTGATGGTAAAGTACTTAAAAAAATAAAAAAAAAACCCTAAAGCAAATTAGCCACAAGTTCCCAATTCTGTATTTTTTTTGTAAACTAAGACTGTGGTAAGATTTCAGCTGGATTTTTTTTTTTCCCAGTAGATGTGCATACAGATATCATTTAATGATAGTCTCTTATTAGATCAGGTACAGAATTGTTACTGTAACTTTGTACACCACAGATTAAATACCTGAAATCCAAGGATCTCTCAGGTATACCAGTGAAAAGCAAGCTTCATTGAAACAGCAACACCCAGGAACATTTAAAATGAACCATTTATTAAATCAAACTGTTATTTTAACAGTTACATAAGTTACACAGCATGTTTAAGTCAAAAGATTTCACAAGGAAAAAAAAAACTTTAAACTTTTATTATGCAGGCAAAAATAGTACCACACAATATGTACCTGGGAGGGAAGAAGGGAAGGGGAATCTCTAAACATTCAAATAAGGCCATAATTATTTAAAAACAACAATAAACCAATAATAAACCCCCCCAAAGATCCATTTGCTTTTCAGTGTGTTCAGTGCTGCTAACTATATGTACTTTTAGTGTACAGGTGTGATCGAGGCAGTGATATTTTGATAGCTAGGTTTAACATTTTAAAACACTATCAGAAGTGGAATAAGGCTCATTAGTACACACAGCTGCCCTTGGAATGTCAATCTCAGTTGCCTTCATCAACTTAAAATTCACAAAGTGCACAGTTAAGATATGCCAAAAAATTGAAACTGCTACTCTACCAACAGCTGCCCATGCGCTTAATACTTAGTGGTCTATTGGAACAAAGTATGTTCTTTCAAAAGAGATGTGTAAGAAAAGCCACTGTAAAACATTTAGTTTTGAAGATGCACTAGGAGCTCTTTGTAAACTGAAAAGTAGAAAAACATGGATTAATTATGTTAAGAAAAGAATACAAAAAACACTAGAAATGACCATTCAACTTTCAAAGAACAAGCACCACAATGGACATTAGCATTCGATTTTGCAGTGTATACAGCAATGTAATAGTTTTACTCTAGCCAATCTACTTCATCAAATTCTGAATCATCTTCTGAATCACTGTATTCCACAGCAATGCGACGGGAGAGGATAGTGGCAACATCATTCTCAATGCGCTCATGCTTAGCTTCTTGCTCCCGCTGCTCTTCAACTTTGCGGAGCTGAATACCTGAAAAACATCAGATCACAAACATGTCACTCTCCTCCTTCACCACCGTAAATGCATTTAGCTCATGATTCATAAAATGCTTTGCAAGCAAAAATGAAGACAGAAGACGCTGTCCTGCTCAGGCAGAATTTTTTTTGTCAAGCTTCTAAAGAGAGGAATGTCAGAATTGCAGTGGCAGACAAGATCTTGAGTCCTTCTAGTATAACATCCTGGTTCTGATTTCCCATTAAAATACATTTTTAGTACCACTGTAAGTGATTAAGCCGTTTTGCTATTTGCATTTCCAAACGTTTTCTAGACTCTATTCATAAATTTAATGAAAGGTTATAGCTATTTGAGTATCCTTACAAGACACGACCTCTTGTAACCCTGTTTTTTGTCATGTAATGATTTGGTTTGGGATAAAGTATTACTTGGAGATCAAAGCTGTGCTAACTCAAGCCTTCGTTTTTTGGGCATGACTTGGTCAAAAGCATTTTCAGCAATCACCTAGATTATACCAGCAGGCTCTATTTTCTCATTTTTGCTGACATTCTCTACATGTGTTCACACACCCCTGTTGTACTCAACTGTTGTCAACACTTCTTTAGACTTCAATGATGTTATCAATTCATGTGCATATAGACATGCAGAAATATTTTGAGTTAGTGCTATAGCCTATCTGCTGATATTACAGTACCATACAGATTCTGTGCTGTGCTGCAGGGGAAGAGTAGAAGAATGCAGGACTTGAAACATTTGAGAGATCTTAACTACTGAAAGATACCCCACTGTCAAACAGCAGCACACACAGTACAGTGGGGATTTTCCTGGCCATGGGCACCATAAGCTGAAAGGTACAGCTGGCACACAGCTCCTCATGAGATCATCAGGAAAGCTGCAGCTCTGCCCTTCCCTTGCACTCTGCCATGGGCACCTTGCAATGCAAAGGCTGCTCCACTACTGCACTGTGTCCAGATCAGACACTTAACAGCTTGAAGTCTTCAGCAATGATTTCTGAACATCACTTATCTCTTGTTGTAATACAGTCCCAGATGATCAAAATTCCAATGCCAATTGATCTGTTTTGCTTTTATCTAATAGTCTGTGAAAACCAATGTTTTCGTCTTCTACACAATCTGTAGATAATCAGAAATAGCTACATTTGCAGGTAAACAGAAATGGAAAGATAATCTCCACAGATCATCTACAAACACGCTTTTGTATTTTTTTTCTCTAATCTGACTTCCACAGAGAACCAGCTTTACCATCCAAACAAAACATCTGATAAGTGCAATTACAAATTGAAGAAAACCCTCTTTACTAGACAGTGCATACACTGCAGAGGATAGAAAACAGAAACAGACTTAAGATGCATTCCTCTAACTTCTTACACACATGAAATATTCCATCTCTCAAAGGTCACATATATTTAGCAGGTTTCTGAAGATTGTACTTTTTGCTGCTTAATAGCCAATGTTACCTTTCCGTATTGCTTCCAGCAGAACGCTTCTAGCATCACTGATTACAGGAAGAGTTGAAGGATGGCGTTTGGGCTCAGGGGCAGGAATCACTTGGGCTGGTGGAGATGGAGGCATTATGGGGGCATGAGGGCCTGGGACAACGGTTGTTGGAGGAGGGTGCAGAACAGGAGGAGGGTGAGAAAGGTTTGCAACTGTGACAGGGGAAGAGGGTCGAATGCCAGGAGGTGGCAGGGGAGGAGGTGGGGGTGGTGGAGGAAGTCCCTGTACTTCGGCTTGTGGAGGAACTGGGTGAACAGGTACAGCTTCGCACACCTGGGCGGCTCTAGTGACAGGGGGAGAGGGTTGTGCTAGGGGAGGAGCAACTGGAGGTGGAGCTGGATGAAGAAC